GGACAGGATCAGTTTAGACGAGATTGCTGCCTTGTGTGGTAGAGTAGAGGGAGCTACGGTGTAAGATGTAAGGTATAATCCAGCAGTGCATAAGCTTCCACTTTTTATAGGGGACCCTAAGCTGGGAGAAGACACAGAGCAGAGAGCAGGTGGGATAAACTGATAAATGGGATTCGCACCGAAACTCTACTTTGCAGATAAATTTTGAAGGGTGTTAAAAAAAAATTTCTATTCTTTTGAATATTAAGATACTAATCTTTTGGCGCAAAGTTATTTACATGTTTATTTTGGATTTAAAAGTTAGTTTTATGGTGAGATATGAAAGGGAAGTTTCCTAAGGAGGCATCAAGGGACCGGAAGTGGAGGACTGTGGTGCATTTTGGGGAAAACAATAAAAAGCTTTTTGGACCCTATAAGCATCTGACCTGGATTTTAGCACTAAATTTCCAAGTACTAATCTTAAAATGAGGATGATACATATTTTTTCCTATTCATTTTGCCCAAGGCACTTGGTCTAAAGGCCGTAATGAAGAGCTACTGAAAGTAGCTGAATAAGAAAGTAGGTCAGGTGCTTTGGGCGATTTCAGATATATATACACATCACATATATTTATATAGAGAGAAGGATATAGATATACATATGTGTGTGTGTATACTTAAAACCCCACACACATACATCATACATACTGGTATAGGTTAATTCTCTTTATATAGAGAGAATTAATCATTGAATGTGGTGCCGATGAAACTACTTCACACGAAATGCTGGTGGGGACGTTAGAATTAATTTAAACAAATGGTATTTCTAGAGTCTGTACTAACTGATGGAGGGAATGGGGAGTGGGGAAGGAGAAAGAAGAAACTGGCTAGTCTGCCACTACGGTTAGTGTTACTATACCTTATAGACAAGAGTTGAAGCAAAGCTAATTTGGATGGCCCTCTCCACCACACTAAACCCATCCCATCACAATTAACCTCAGAACAAATGCAACCCAAAAGTCCAACTGCCCTCCTGCTGTCAGTAGATTCCACACTACCTGTCATCACATTCCACATTCTCCTCTGTTGCTGGGTACCCTGGGCACTCTTAATTTCCAAAGCTCCAGGTGCTGTTTTTCCTTGGGACTCAAATACAGAGTCTTTGGTTCCAATGCTATCGTACCCGGGCTGACACTTGAGAGAAGCACCATCGCTCTGGCCTGTGAACCTAAAGGCCATACCTACAGATCTTAACACTACACCTTCTGTGTAGCAGCTCGGTACCCACACGCCAGCAGCCACTCAGAATGGAGCAAACTCTGTTGGGTAAGGAAGCAGGTTCCCCTTGAAAGCAATAAACTGGTGTGAATTGGTTACGATAAATAGGAGTCTGAGATTTGGGTTTTAAATTCTGAAAAAGTATCTTTATGAGAGAATAAAAACCGTTAACAGTTACAAGAAGCTAGATGATAAAAAATGGTTAATTTACTCTCAATGTCTGCTCACTTCTTTGTATTGAATTTTTCTAATATAGACATCAAAACTGTTTTAAATTTCGAATTATAAAATAGTGGCATGTGACATTATTGGGTTTTTTACCGTTTAAATACTAAAATGTGAAACGTATATTTTATATAAACAAGTAAATCATTCATTTGATCTTCATAAAACATATTGATTTACTCAGGAATGAAATATGTAAAGCTGTTGAATTTAGTTACCTTGGTAACATCTGGAGTGAACTACTCCATCTAAAAATATTTTCTCCCTTATTGTTTATACTGTGTGCCGAAATTATAAATACATGACTTTTATTAAAGATTCTCCTGATAAATGATAATGTTTATCTTACCTGAAAAGTGAATAAATGGTACACTATTTACTAACTATGTATGATGACTTCAGATTAAAGAAATAGATATAGCATGTTTAATGTTTAACTATAATAGGTATTGGATTTGTTTTATGCTAACGTAGATTGGGTTTTAAAATGTAATAAATCTTTAGAGTTATTCATTCTTTTAACATATTCATAAAATTTTCTTACATGAAATGTTTAGTATTTTTTTAAAAACATGATTCTAGTACACAAATGTTAAATCACATTTTTCTTCATGAATTAAATATTTGGACTTGAATATGTCCATTATGCTTTTCTTTGGACTGTCGTGGAAAGAAATAACTTAAATGATCAGAAATGACCTTTCATACTTTAGCATAAGGATTTGACTTAGAATAAAATACCAGGCACCATTTTCCAAATTACTTATATAAATCATTCCCCTAATTCTGTATTTCAAAAGCCCTACATATTTCATTGTTGAAAGAGTGTTTTGATTTCTCAATAGCTATGGAAAGTACTATGTTGTATTATTTATGGCCTGTTTGCTAAATTCTCTTATGGATTTTTTCTCTTCACTTGAAGTCTTTTCTTGAACAGGTGTGTAAAAAGACTAATTTAATAGTAGAATCTTACCATTTGAACACATTTTACCTTGTTCACAAAATAGTTTTAGAAATCTGTATAAAAATATCATTTTACTGAAAATTAAACTAATGGCTTTGTTTTCATTTTTTATTGGAGCGAGAGATCTGAGCATTTCCCTGGGCTCTTGTCTATCCCACTCTGAGTGTTTCCTGTTCTTTTCTTATGATTTTTCTATTCTCTTTTTCTGCACTGCCACTGCTTTCGTTCGGGCTTTCAACAGTGCTAACTCGGATGACTTCTAGATCTCTTAACTGGTCTCCCTAATTTCGATTTTGCCACCTGCATTTCATTCTTCTCATCAGAGTCAGATTTATCTCTTTAAAAGATGGTTTTGTTCACTTTCCTTCCCATTAATAATTTAAAATTGATCCTATTTCCTGTCAAGGTAAAAATCCCAGCTCTTTGATACACAAAACACTTCCCAATGCATTCTCTTCCTCCCTTTCTAGATTTTCTTATTCATTCTCTCTTTTGCTCTCGCCGCTCTAATCTTACTTCTCCTGTGCCCTGAGTATCCTTTCCTCTGTGACTTTGTACCAGCTCATCTCCAGGTGGGGAACGATCTCCCCCAACTTCTTCACGTGGTTAAAGCTTACTAGTCTTTTAAAATTCAGCTTACATGCCACATTTTTTAGGAAACCTTCTTCGATGTCTATATCTCTTGTTTTGGATCATAACCTTTTTTGCTCTACATTGTAGTTGCATGTTTATTTTTCTGTCTCTTAATTATCTGTGAACTCATTAAAGGCAGAATCTCTATAGGCCAAACATTTAACCCCTTTTGGCCAAGAATAGGCCCTCAATAAACATCTGTTGAATAAATGAATGAATGGGTGAGTTATAGTACTTCTTCAGAATTTAAACATTATTTCCATAAATGTAATTGATTAGAAGGCATTAAATATTTCATTGCACCCTATGAAAAGAAAATAGACTTGAGAATATTCAGAATTCACAAAAAATCACAAATACTGAATATTATTATTCTAGCTGATTCATATTTGTGTGGTTTCATCAATAGCCCTCCATTAAGGAAACAATTTAATACCTTTGTCCATAATTATCCTGTAAAATTAATGTCAAATCCTTTTCATATATGTAAAGAGGAAATTAAGAGAAATAGACTTTTATTGTTTTATAGTAAACTTTGTTTCTTGCTCTCAGTAAATTGTCATTAATATCCTTTTGTCTAAATAAACATGTATTTTAAAGCCAGAAAATTTTGCTTAACTCTGCTTCTTCTTCTTCCCTGTTTTATTTCTTTTTTTCTATAGTCATGTCATTTTTGTTATTAGAAAAATTATATATTTTTTAAATTATATATCATAAATTGTATATTTTATAGAATATACAATATTTTATAATATAAATTATGCATTTTATCATGTATTATAAGTTACATATAGTAGATAATAAAGAATGTTAAAAAATCCAGTGCCACACAGTTTAGAAGAAACGAATATTCACACTTTAGACTACATCTTTTCAGTTTTTTTTTTTTCTAGGAATTGGCCCTGAGCTAACATCTGTTGCCAATCTTCCTCTTTTTGTTTCTCCCCAAAGTCCCAGTACATAGTTGTATATCCTAGTTGTAAATCCTTCTAGTTCTTCTATGTGGGATGCCACCACAGCCTGGCTTCATGAGCAGTGTAGAGGTCCATGCCCAGGATCTGAACTGGTGAACCCGAGACCACCAAAGCAGAGTGTGTCAACTTAACCATTTGGCCATGGGGCCAGCTCCTCTTTTCAGCCTTTTCCCTCTGTGTTTATGCATTTTCTTTTTACAAAACTGTGGTCATATTGACCCCACCCTTTTGTAGCTAGCTTTTTCCACTTAATATTTTGTGACACATTTCCCTATATCTTTGAAATGAAGTATTGAATAACTTCATAATATTCTAAACATTCCAACATATATTAAGCCAATCTTCTATTTTTAGTAATTTATGGCATTTCTAAATTTTTGCTATTATAGACAACACTGGCATAAATGTCTTTTTACCTACACAGAGATGGACACAATGATTCAGCTCCTTAGGCTTAAAAGTCCCAGGAGTGTAATGATTAGAGCAAAGCTTATGAGAACTTTTAATGTTTTAGATGCCTATTAAACACTCATAAAACTTGTACCAATGTATACCCCGCTAACAGGGTAGCTGATGCTTTTATCAGAGAATTTTCACCAACTCTGGATATTTTCACTGGAAAAACAAAAACTATTTGCAAAATAATGGACAATTACCTTATTCTCTTTGTTTAAGTTTACTTTTCTTTGATATGGTGTTTGGGATTGAACTGTTTCTCTATTTTATCTTTTTCTTATTTTATTTTACTTCTTGTGTCTAAATGTGCTTACTAGATTAAAAATAACAATGGCTGCTTCACAAGTTTATTGCTAAGGGTAAATTATACATTAAATGTCACATTGGTTAGCACAATGCGAAGCACATAATAAGAGCTCAATAAGTGCTAGTTGAAGTAGAAACTGAATAGTATATTAGTAAATCAAAATATAAATTTTTCTTTCTGACAGATGATTCCGCTGCAGAGAGCTTTAATGGCAATGAGACTCTGGGGCACAGTTCACTTGCTTCAGGGGGAACACACAGCAGGGAGATGGGGGACTCCAATGGTGATGGCAAAACTGAGCTGGAGCAGGACGAGCAGCCACTGAACCTGAGTGACAGTCCCCTCTCAGCACAGCTAACTTCGGAATACAGAATAGATGACCACAGCAGTAATGCAAAAAACAAATATAAGAATCTTCTAATTTCGGACCTCAAGATGGAACGAGAGGCGAGAGAAAATGGAAGCAAGGTAAGGTCACATCACAGTTTTCAGAGAATATTTAAGTTGATCATGAAAGTCACAAAGAAATACATATTCATAGGAGAGATGAATGTTATCGTCACTAAAAATATTTTAAACAAATCCCAATAATACATTACCAAGAAACATAACCACAGATATTGTGTGTCCATATAATATAAACAGAATAAATTTCAGGAATAACAGTGAGCAAAATGGGTCATGTCTCAGGAGAAGCTGTCTGTGCGTTTTCTCCATGGAATTACTTGATTTAGTGTTTCTCTTTTATGTAATCTTCTTATGGATCTGTGTCTGGGAGTTTGTTGAGCTCAGATGTGAAAGTTTAGCTCTCAGAACACAATTTTGGACTATGTAAAGATCACTATCTAGTTTCTCCTAGATTGGATAGGTGTATGTAGCAATAAAATTTCAATTAAATTCTCGAGTTTGCTTTAGAGACCTGGGGACTTCGGTCAGTAATTTACTCCACATACGTAGGAGAAACATGTGAGTGTTCTAGATGAAACGTATAGATTAAATAACTACTTGAACCAGTAATTTATCATAAACTGTATGATACAAAAGACAGAAATGCTTTGCAGACATATTATCTAAGTTTCTAAATTCTTTATGTTAGACTAAATCATAATCCTCCCCATTCCCAATTGATTTATTTTTAAAAATAAACCTTACATTTCTACCAGTTTGAAATACCTCATGCTGGTGACTTTCTGCTATAATTTTTGAAGGTATCCTTTTGAACATATGAGGATTTTTATGGAATATGCATTTTGACTCCCTCCCCTGCCCTACTTCTAAGTTATGGTTGTAGAACTGGTCTTTTGATATAGATCCTGAAAGCAAAATGTCTTAATCTGTATTAATTTCTGAGGCACTATGCTCCCTAAATTGGCTCTATTTAAATCCTCTTGCTTGCCTGAGGGTGTGTTGTTTTATCCTCTTTTAAGCAAGTCACTAGACATTATCAGACACTTAAGCACTTCTGCCTGAGGGAGGCTGCTACAACTTTTGCTGTAGTAAGTGCGCAAATATTCTCTTCATTGGTTTAAAGCCAAATCATACAAACACAAATGATTTTATATTCACTAACATGATCTGAATCACTGTGTTACATTTCATGGAACAAAATAACCCTTAAGTTTTCCTGCCATCCACATAATCCCGTCTTTATAAAACCTAATCATGAAATGTCCTTTATATGCCATGTATCTGTTGAATATTTTTCTAAAATTATCCAGTGGTTTGCTCTTTTCTTTATCCCTTTGTTCAATATTACTATAGGAACTATGCTCATTAAAACGCCTTCTTGCTTACATTAAACCGAATGAAGTTACTTTTCTACCTCAATTAAAATGGAGATATAAAAAGCACAGATTTTTGAGCTGCCTGTGATGATTAAGATGAGAAATGGACCCGGGGATAAGGAGATACCCCTGAGGACCTGAAAGTTTAGTGGTTTAGTAATGGAAGAACAGCTCCCACAGCCAACAGAGAACTAACCAGAGAGGCAGAAAAAAAGTCAGAAGTGTATAGTGTATGCAAGCTAAATCAAGTCCACCTTTCAAGAAGGCGAGAATGGTTAGCTCTGATGGACAATGCTGAGATATCAAATAAGATGGAGATAGGAAATAATTAAGTTTGTGAGAACAGTTTTGCTAGCACGTTGAGAGTGGAATCCAGAGGGACTCTATTCATTCCTTCAAAAGGACATATTAAATACCTGTTTCACTTGCACCAATAGAGTAGACAGCAGAGACAACTCAAAGAGAGAAGAGTCCTTATTCATGACTTGATAAATAGTTTTGGTAAAGAGGGAACATATACATAGAAAAGTTTCTTAGTGAAAGTATAGGCAAGTATCTATTCCTGGGTTAAAACACTGAGAGTTCAAAGTAAGAAAATACTATTTCTATTGAAATAATAAAGAGGGCTTCCTAGAGGAAGTGAGTCTTGAACTTTGAAGGAAATGTAAGATTACCATTTTTTCAAAAGAAAGTCTCCTTTTAGACATTGTGAAGGACTTGGAATGCAGACGGGGAAGATGAGTTGGTCTCATAGGGTAGGGAACCATTGTCTATTTGGAGCTAGTTATGACTTCATAACATAGTGTTTGAGGAAGAACCTGCTATCATTATGCAAGATACACTGCTACCAATTAATTTATTCACCAAATGTTTACTGAGAGATTCCTACAGGCAAGGCACTGTTGTAGGAAGCAAAAATATGGAAATGAGCAAAGCAGGGTCCCTGCCCCTTAAAAGCTTATAGTTAAACAGGAAAGAGAGGTGAATTTGTGATTCCATGAGTAATATGATGGGCTTATGGCAGGGTGAGATGAGAGAACAGGGGTGGGACACCTATGGGACTCTGCTGATTCTTAAGGAAGACTTTATAGTGAGACTGATGCCAGCACTGTATGTGAAGGGCAAGTAGAACTTATTCAGATGAGGAGGATTATTTATGGTAGAGCACATTTTGAGGCATAGAGCCATGAAAGAGCATACTTGGCACGGAGATTTGCAAGGAGCTTCACATGGCCACAGCAGAGAATACATGTGGAGGAATGGAGTGTAAAGAGGTTCCGTCCATAAAAGCTTTGCAGGCCATTTTAAGGACTTTGGATCCCATAGAACTTAGCCGGATAAGGTTGTTGTGGGCATGGAATTTTAGAAACATTATTCTGGCAGCATTGTGGTGGATGAACAGGATAGGGACTAGGAAAGAAAGAAAACTGGTTAGAGAGTTATTGTTGCAATCTAGGAAGAAAATAATACATAAATATAGTTAAAAAATAATGAATGTGTTACTTTTGTTCTTTTGACTGTGTATTTGTGGGACCACCATATATAGTTCCATAGGTTGTATGTTGCCAAACTTCTAGGAATGTCTTTCACATAGGCTGCAATATGAATAGCCTCTTTCGCACTATACATCCCACTGGGATATAAATTCTATGAGTGTAAGAATGATGTCTACCTTACCTACTGCTGTATGTCCAGGACCTGGCTTAATATCTGGTTCATAGTAGTTTCTCAAATATTTTCAAGAAATAAAGTTTTATCAAATGTGAAAAGCGAAGCGGAGAAGAACATTCTAGAATGACTCTAGGATTTTTGTCTTGGCTGCCTGAGTGGATGGTGATTCCATTTACCAAGATTCAGAATGAGAAACGTTTGAAGAAGCAGGCTTTGACATGTCAAGTTTATGGTGCCTATGCAATATTCATTGGATATGTTTAATAGGCATTGGGGGCATATATGTCAGCTGAAAAGAAACATCCAGGTTGGAGAGTTAGACATTTGAAAGATTTCAGAGAAAATGTGCTATTTAAGCTGTTGTGGTTGTTAAGATCACCTCAGAACCTGGACTGAGGAGAGAAGAAAGTCAAAATATATCATCCTCAGAATACTGGCCAATCAGGAACAAGAGGCATAAAAGGAGTTTGTGGAGGAAAAAGAACAGAAGGAGAAAATGACGGCAACAGATGAGGAAGGGAGATATTTTAAAAGCCAAAGTGTAGGGCATTTCAAAATTGATAGAAGTGGTTAAGTGGAGTGATCCTTCAATGAAGTGACATAGGTTTAAACTTGAAGGATGGTTAGGAGAGGTCGTACTAAGCATTGGGTTCAAAACGCACAGCAGAAGAAGAATTAGCAGAGTTAGTGGGGCATTGGACGGGAGACATTTGCAGAGGCTGGGTCGGACTGCGGAATTGTTTTAATTGTGAGGGAGACTGTGTCTGGAATTTTGATTCAGGGATTCTTCTTGCAATCTGAATCCACATGCTCAGCGCTCTAGGGTTCTTGGCTTTGGATCTATACTTGCTTTACCCCAAGGCTATCAGCCGAACTTCATATTAAAGGTTTAACACTCATCTGTTCAATGTCTACCTTTTGTAATCCTCAGAAATGTTCCATCACTTCTGTGCAAATTTATAAAATGACACTCCTAACCAATTTCTTCTTCCAGTATTTTTGAGGCTAGCCTCTGTTCTACCTTGGAGGAATATAAAAGCTTAATTATATAGTATCTTTGAGAAGCTTAGATTCCTGTGTGTTTAACATTGACCTATTTCACATTTATTATGAATAATATCAAACAAAAATGATGATAAGGCATTTTAAAAACTGAACAGTGAATAGAAATGCTTAAAAGAATAGCTGAGCTGGACTACGCCCTTTACTAATTGCTTATTATTATGCAAATTCACTCACTAGATTAGCAGGGAATCATATTAACCAAGCTAAAGAATAAATATATTGCATTGAAAGAGTTTAGGTGCTATTTATTTTCTACTTCCACATAGTCATATTTTTAGAGGACAACTAGTAACATTACTTTCAGAAGAAAAGTAGAAGTATTGACTAAGAGCTTGGAAAAATTCTCATGAAAAAACTCATGAAGAAGTGTTAAGGGAATAGTTATATATTTTTTAAAAAGCCGAGGAGACATAAATCGGGGCATGAATATGTTTAAAATTATTTATAAGTGAGAATAAAAGTAAAACTAGAACTCTAATGGAAGGAAATACATAAAAATACTGTATCATTAATTTTTTTCTTTTTGGTTTTCTCTTTTTCTTTTGGTATTTATGTGACCCAGCTGCATTTTACTTAATATGGTAAAATATTCTGAATCAATCTCCCAAAAGAATAATGTTTCAAGTAATAACTGTGGTGGGAGAGTGATTATTGTTTGAGGGTTAATGTGTCACTGTGGTTACTGCATATTTGGTTTTTGGCTTGATTCCCAAGACCTTTGAATCTTCACTTTGTTTAAATAATATTTTTTTCCCTAATGTGGCCCATGTGACATTTTTTTTCAATTAATCTTTCCTTTAAATTTTTACCGAAATGGATATTACCATTCAGATTAAAGTTTATAAAATATTTATCACAATTATCATTAATAATTGCTATCTAATTTTTCTTAGATGATGAATAGAAGTAGCACAGTTTTCAAAATATCTCTTTGAAATATTTAGGTGT